ATGAGGATTGGAATTTCCCTAGGTTAGGGTTCTACGAAAGGAAGTTGATCAAGAAAGAGATGTAGAAATAAAAACAACTTCCAGAATGAAGGGGATTAAACAAGAACAAGTGAGAATGAATCAAAAATCAAGACTATGGATTAAAAAGTAAAACCAAGAACAAGAAATAAAAGCATCTGACAAGCAATCGAGATTGAAAGCAAGAAACCAATCAATAAGGGATTCCAAGTTGATTTTCAAGATTCAAGATCTGGAATCAAGATCCAATAATAAAGAAATATTGCCAAAGAATTAAGTTAAGTTTTGCATTTAATAATGTCTTGGTGACTTGATATGAAGTATCTTGGCAATAAATTTAGGCTTTCGAATTCTAAAGTTTCTAATTTTGTAAAGTCTAAAGTTTCGGCTCACAATCTCATGCTCATTAGAGGTGGGCGTAGTTTAATTCAGAAAACTGTTCCAAAATGAGTATCAATAAAAAGTTTATATTTACCCTAAATCATTATATACCACTCCAACAAAATTGTGATTTTGCAACAAGATTTATTGTGACATACAAAAAGTTGTCGCAATAAGTGATTTAGCGCAACACATTTTTAAAATTTGTCGCAAAAAATCTGATTTTAAAAATAAGTGCAAAAAAATCTATAGTGACATAAAAAGTTGTAAAATGTCAAAAGACGCAACAAACAATACATATTGTCGCCAAAAATGTAATGGGAAGAATGGCGCCAAAACATTTTTTGGTGGGAAACTTATAGCAACAAACATTTAGTTCTTGCAACAAAGTGTTTGTGATGCAATTAGGTCTACTTTTTGCAGTAATGCATATTATTGATAAAATCATAGGGATGAAAGAAAAAAATGTGCGACACTTATATTTGTCAATGCTTTATCTCATTGGGATGTTGAAAAAAATTCATAACATCCACATTAATCGTTATCCGTCTTTGTGATGAACAAAATGACGTGTATTCTACTATTTTTCATAAATAAATGTTTTAAACTAATGAGCAAGTACATAGCAAATTATTATTTTTTATGCACAAACACAAAATTGTATATTTTTTAATATATAAATTTATTTTTATATTATTTGACTGCTACTTTAAAAATGTTAACACATCCATCCATTCGCAAATCACACTACATCATTTTCTACTTCTTTTAAGATTTAATTGTGACATTATGAAATAAATTTTATACTTGAGTTAATATAATAGTAATTAGTAGCATTCAGCCCACTATAATTAAGCATCAAATGTAACGTTTCAGCCCATTATTCCATACACTTTCCCGCCTCCTATCGCTGAACCCTTTCCTTCTCTTCTCCTCTGTCTAAACAAATCTATTGCCTCTCCCGCAGCTAAAACTTTGTATTTTCTCTGATTTTTTGCCCTTTGTCTAAATTGTTTACAAAGTTTAGCAGATTGCGAGTCCTATAAGTCGTCTTCAAGGTATGTCAAATTCCTTCCTGTTTATGCAATTATTATTCCCTTCTTCTTTGCGGGGAAAAGAAATCCTAGGCGGTATTAGTTTTTCATTCACTGTGACTAAGAATGTATATCGAGTTACATCATCGTCCAAGAGGTGGTTTGACAACTATTGCCCAGCAGTACATGATCAATATAGAAGGTGTTTGGTCGAGACATTTGAAGCTGTTGATCATATGTTGTAAAGAACAACTCATGCCTAGATTTCTGCAATTTAGTAAGAAGATGAAGTTTTGTTTATTTCCGTGTTAGAACATGCAGTTTTATAATTGCCATCATGGGAACATACTTATGTTCAAAATAATGTTTAATTTTGTGTTGGTACTTTCTAACTTTGAAAAAACGATGGTATATGGATATTTTGGGTTTCTAGAGTTGCAATGTACTATCTATTGATCAAAATTATGGTTCACACGAATTTTTCACTTTTATGTTGCAATTTCCCTTTACAACATAATATACATGTTATGTATATTACATCCATGTTACAAAATATCTTTCGAATATAAAATCTTGTTATTGTTAGAATTTGGTTTAAAGATTGAAGTATAAACTTGAAAATTGACTGTGTCAATTTCGACCAAATATTTAGAATTGATCCAATAGTCAAATCATAAAAATAAATTCATTAACTTATTCTATTTGTTAAGTAGATCGTCAAATTATATTTGAAATCTCAAAATTAATTCCAAATAAATAAGAAATTGCTGTCTAAATTTGGATGGAAAAAATGGGAAAAAAGAGGAAAAATCGTGTAGCACTATCGCTTGTACACCAGGCTAGCGCCAAGTCAGCAGCAAAGCTATCACTCGAATGATAGGCGAGTGAAAAGTTTCTAATAAAAATGTCACTGGCGATCGAGCGAGAGGCCAGGAACAGTAAGGGATACGTCCCTTCTTGAAGTTACTGAGTTTCGAGGCATATACTTTACTCACAACCTCTCATCTTCTATAAATATGACCATTTGGATGTTCATTATGCATCTAATATCATTTGTATTGGGCATTACATCAAAACCTCTTACAAAAACTCTCCAAAAATCATTCCAAAATTAGTTTCTTTAGAGAGAAAACCTTTCATTGGATTATGTTGCTGCTCATAGTTTGAAATGTTTCTACTACAAGTTGTATCCATTGTATCATGGAAGACAAGTGTCGTAATCCATTAGTGCCGTTGCAAGGGCAATTTTATCTTAAGAAAAAAATATTAATCACTTGCCTCGGATTTCTTTTCATTCTCGTTCCTTTTTGTTTCTAATTTACATAGAGTTTAGTTACACTTCTGTGAATTAAACATAGTCATTGTTTTGTATATTGACAAATAACCATTTCTCTACACATATTACTGACAATCTTAAAGTAAAATTTTTGTGGTTGTTTATTGTAAAATGAGCCACCCCTCTTCATCTTTGGAATAATCATTTGCATGATATTCCTTTCATTCATTCTGTGCGTTGAATTTCTATTTATATAACAAAATTGAATACCGTTGAGACTACTTTAAGCTAAACAACGAATGGTACGAACCATGTCATTCCATCTTTGGCTATCCAATATCAAACTCTCATATCCCAGTGGAGAAAATTTGAAAAAGTTTGGAGGTGTTGATGTCAAAATATGGCAAAATAAATATTGTTATATCTTATTACTTTGATTTTTGCAAAGTTCTTAAAAGAGACGGCTCCTGCAATACAAGAGAAAGAAAATAATCGCAAGTTGATTATTGCATTGGATGCATAAAAGCACGCAGATTTCCTTCGTAAAAACTACATCCTAAATAGATTCGACAATACACTTTATGGAGTGTATAGTTCGATGGACTCGGCCAATGATTTATGGGATTCATTGGAGAAGAAATACAAAATTGAGGATGTTGGAACAAAGAAATTCTTGGTCAGCAAGTTTTTGAACTACAGATTAGTAGATTCCAAGACATTGATATGTCAATTACATGAACTTCAAGTTTTACTTCATGATATTCATACAAAATTTTAACCATCCTACTAAATCCACACGTAATTCCATTTTAAAGAGGACCTAAACATATAAAAAGGACAATAAATGACAGTATGGAACACTTGATGTCAAACATGTATAATCATATTCCCCGTTGAGTTTTGAAAATCCTGAAAGTTTTTTGGTGAAATTTCTTTTTCAATTTACTTATCGCATTTATCAAGGGATATAGTTACTAATCTAATCGTCCGTTTTTCTTTAAAAGGACATGATGGTGATGATGGAACATGTGCACGTTATTATAGAAAGAGAAACTGCTAATCTATAATGATAATAGTAATTTTATAAGCTAGAATTGTTTATTGGCCACATCATTGCAATGCACATTCAAGGTAGAAAAGATGTGGAATATTAACATATACGCTAAACTTTATTTTTTAGTGACTATTAATATAATATATTGAGTCAAGTTATTAATAGAATTCAATCAATAAGAATTGGTCCACAATGTATTTTTCAATGTGGAATAATCCTAGTGCAAGTAATACAAGCCACGAAGTATAGGTGACAACTTAACCTCTCAAGAATTTTGCTATTGATTGAGGGAGCAATGTAATGTGTTGCATCAATATATGCGTGATGTACAATTGGCTAAATTCTTCAAGTATATTTACGGGGTGTTATCAATTAAGATTTTAATGAATTTTAAATGATTATAAATTCTAATAAATTTTATGGATTTGAATAGATTTTTACGAATTTTATAAGATTCTTATCAAATATGGTGAAATTAAAGATTTGACTATATGTATTTTTAAGCTTGAAATCCATCCAAAATTTTTTGAAATACTTCTATTAGTGAAATCTTTATAAATTCACTAATTATTGAGGGTATCTAAATTTTAAAGGATTTCATTAAAATTTTAATTGAAGACACCTAAATTTTAATGAATTTCATTAGAATCTAATAAAATCTCAATTGAAGACATCTAAATTTAAATTGTCTTTTAAAATCCATCACACTCTCAATTCAGGACACTCCCTTAAGTTGGACTTTCTTGTCAACCAAAGAGAACCCTTTCTTGGCCATCAAGCAACGTGGCCACCAAGCAAACTTCATCACCATGTAACCTGCCTTTCCCTCCATATATATATATATATATATATCTTGAAGGTAAAGGGTAATTAGTTATCAAGTAACAAAAAATACTAAGCCCTTGTTTGACTCCCATTCTTTTGGAAAAATATATTTTTCAATAGTGTTTTGACATCATTTCAACCACACATTCTTTAATAAAATAATATTACACGCAAATCCAAAACTTTTCATTATTTTTTAACCACACATTTCCCATTAAAACACTATTCAAAAATTCATTCTTTCCAAAAAAAAAATGGAGCCCAAACAAGGGCGAAGTCGAAAACTCTTTCATTTCTATCTATCCGTTACAAAAACTTAGGCTCCTGCTGGTCCAGTGGTCTCCCTTTGACAATCAAGCATTCTAATATTTTCTGCAAAGCTCTGCTGATATGGCACTTTGAGCAACTTTAATGTGTAAATTTTAATCATTTGAAGTAACATCCATGTTATACTTGCAAAAGTGAATAACATTCATGAACAATCTGAACACTGAATACTGAAGAAGTCAATTTAACTTCAAATGCAAGTGAATAATTTGGCAAGGCTATGAATGCCAGGAAACAGCCAGCAGCTGTAACTGCCAAAAATAATTCTATTTATCTAATGTTTGCCGTTTAGAAAAGGAGACCTTTGTTATACACGCCGCCTTATATATCTCAATCTTTGAAGAGGTCAAGGTACTTTCCTCACTCCTCAACAGAATATGATGTCCCGACTGCAAAATCTGTTCAGATTACAAAGTTTAGCACACACAAAAATAAATAAACAATATGATCAATCTTTACAATTGTCGCTTGTTTCGTAAGGTGAAACCTATATTATCGTAAGTATTAAAAGCGTAAGACTAAATAGCGTAGTGTATAGAGCCGTAGTATACCTCCAATGAATCCTCCGATCTTAGCACTAGAAGATAACATGTTCATGAATCATGTAAAAGTGAAAAGTGAGAACCTGTGGCGCCTTCTTTTCGATGATTTTCCATGCATTGTAGGAGATATTTGAAGGTCTCTGTCTCGCACGGAATTGTGAGCGCGCCATTATGATCGAATCCGAACTCCTCCTCAACCTTTTCTAGAAGCACCTTAAACAGTGGATCACTAAGATATCTAGTGGGGATTATAAACCTCCGAAGCTCCGGCCCAACATACACTGCAAGGTAACCTTTTGGAACATCGTGCGGTGGTTCTGGGCTTTGGCAACCATCCTCATCCGAGTCGCAGCATACATTATTGCTCATCAGTCTCCTACTAGTTGCTGGTGAAATGCCTCCAGCCACTTGATTCTTGGAAGAACCCTTGGGGCTAAGCGTTATGTTTTGCCATTTTTGAAGGAATTCCTTCAGTCTAACAATTTGCCTTATTCCTGTCATCTTGCTTCCTCCATTATCCTCCATTTCTCTTAGCTCTTACCACAAAAATGTCGATCAGAATGCAAACACTCATCAGATCTTGTTCCACTGCATTTGTTGATCCAGCTGCAAAGTTTCAAATACTAAAAGATTTCTGCAATTTGGTTTTCAATTGATCTAGATAATAAATTTATGAGCGTGACACCCTAACAAACACATCTAATGCGTTGCAAAATTGTTATATTTACATTAATCCCTTCTTCTCAAAGATATCGATTCCGTGTGCTCATAACGTAATAAAATTGTGGCTTGGTAAGTATAAAATAAGTCTTGACATGATGACAAGTTTATCACATTAAATAATGACTGAATATTAATTATGCTATTATCGATTTTGTTGGGTTTTGATACCCAATAAAACCGAACAATAATTTAAAATAATTGATGAATAATTTATTGACACCATAGACTAGACTCGATCCAGAAACGACCAACACTTTTGAAGGTCCAAGTTATTGATGGCCCAATTTTTTGACCCATTTAGTGAACTTAGCCCATACTGGTGACCTAAATTTGGTGCATATATCTATCTTTCTGTAGCCATTTGTTTCTTGTGCGTGTTTGATGGGACAAATTTCGTAAGATAGCAAGATAATTGAAGTTCCTTTTCGAAAATATTCTACGTCCTTGATTCTGAGTTGGCATCACAACCACAACCAAAACCAAGAGATGGAGATATTGATGTCGTAAGAGCCTAAAGGCAAAAGCCTCAAGAAGATGAACTTATATGCCACGGTCATATTCTTAATGCTCTATCCTATCGATTGTACAATCTCAATACAAATACATCATCAACAAAAGAAATATGGGATGCTTTGGAAAATAAGTACAAAGCCGAAAAAGTAGGTACTAAGAAATTTCTAATTTCAAGGTATTTCGACTACAAATTCCTTGATAACATCCCTCCTTCTTCCCCAAGTACATGAGCTACAAGTTCTTGTAAACAATTTGAAGGTGATCAAAATTGAGATCTTGAAATCTTTCCAAGTAAGGGCAATCATTGCGAAACTCTCGGGGACTTGAAAATATATATTGGAAGAAAATAATGCATAGTTTTGGAGATTCAAATATATTCAACAAGAAAAAACCTTTTTCAAATTTTAACAAATTTAAGAAAAAAGTCCAATGGAGTTTATTTTGTATGTGCTAAACCTTGGCATTATGCAAAGGAATGTCGACACCAAAAACAAAATAACTTTGAAGGAAAAGTGAACTCCATAAAAAAAGATGATATTGTGGCCACCGTAAGTGAATTCAATGCAATCAAGGAAAATGTTCTTGGTTGTTGGCATGATATCATATGAAAAGATTTTATTCAAGACCTATGAGGTGGATGGAGATGAAGAGACTCAAATGGCTAACGAAGATCGCCTTAAAGTAGTTGGAAAAGGAAATATAGAGACTATCTTCACTTTCGAAAAAATTGTTAATTTAACAAATGTATTACATGTTCCTAAAATGAATAGGAACTTAGTAGGGCTGGACATGGTCCGGTACCGAACCTGAAATTTTGGAGTATTTAGTTAGTGGTACCGTCGGGCTCAAATTTAATTATGAAACCATTCGGATTCATTTCCATTCGGTTCCCAGGTTCTGTATTATAATTAATTTTTTTAATATTTACAAAGCTACGTTAATTCAATTAATGATATGTTCAATTTTAGCTCTCACAAAATAACGTAATCCAATCTTATGTATCTTTTGAGTCTTTTTTTACTGAGTTCTTCATAGATTTAATTGTTAAAATCATAGGAAGTGGAAGATAACGAATTCGCAATAACTAAGAGAGGCATTGTTAAGTTTCAATTCGATTTTTTCAGAACAGTAAAAACAACATTATGGTAGAGTAACATATTTGGATAAAACTTAAAATCAATTTGATTAAGTTGGCTTTGAACTGAAAATAAAAAATAGGAAAATCATATTTTTTTTTGTTTGGGCTAAATTAACCAATTAGCAAATTTATTTAGAAAAAATAAAATTATTTGGCTTATTTAAAATAAATTAATTAAAAAAATTAAGTAGATTCGGTTCTTGATCTAGAATCGAGAACCAAAGGGAATTCGTCGATTCTCTATTCAGATATCCTTTCGAGTATTCAATTTAAGAAGAACTGCTCAATTCAATTGGGTTTAGTTGGTTCGGTTGGGAGTTTTGTCCAACCCTACAACTTAGTTAGTGGTAATCTCTTAGGAAATTGAGAATAAAAGTGTTTATGAGTCTAGTAAACTTGTATTATCCCTAAATACAAAATTTGTTGAAAAAAGCTATTCTCGTAGAAGAATGGTCAAACTTTGTGCTATTATCAAAATTATTAATAAAGTTAATTTTGCTTATATTGTTGATTCATTTACTTTATGGCATGCTATATTAGATCACATAGGTAAGAGTACCATGAAAAGAATATTAGAATGTAACTTAATATCATATAATGAAAACAATACATTTAAATGTAAAACATAGAACCAAAAATGATTTAAAATCCTTATCAAAGTATAAATAGGACTTATGATATTTTAGAATTAATTCATACGGACATATGTGAATTTAATGGTTTGTCAATTAGAGGTTAAAATATGTATTTTATTATCTTTGTAGATGATTACTCTAAATATACTTATAATAACGAATTCGCAATAACTAAGAGAGGCATTGTTAAGTTTCAATTCGATTTTTTCAGAACAGTAAAAACAACATTATGGTAGAGTAACATATTTGGATAAAACTTTAAATCAATTTGATTAAGTTGGCTTTGAACTGAAAATAAAAAATAGGAAAATCATATTTTTTTTTTTGTTTGAGCTAAATTAACCAATTAGCAAATTTATTTAGAAAAAATAAAATTATTTGGCTTATTTAAAATAAATTAATTAAAAAAATTAAGTAGATTCGGTTCTTGATCTAGAATCGAGAACCAAAGGGAATCCGTCGATTCTCTATTCAGATATCCTTTCGAGTATTCAATTTAAGAAGAACTGCTCAATTCAATTGGGTTTAGTTGGTTCGGTCGGGAGTTTTGTCCAACCCTATAACTTAGTTAGTGGTAATCTCTTAGGAAATTGAGAATAAAAGTGTTTATGAGTCTAGTAAACTTGTATTATCCCTAAATACGAAATTTGTTGTAAAAAGCTATTCTCGTAGAAGAATGGTCAAACTTTGTGCTATTATCAAAATTATTAATAAAGTTAATTTTGCTTATATTGTTGATTCATTTACTTTATGGCATGCTATATTAGATCACATAGGTAAGAGTACCATGAAAAGAATATTAGAATGTAACTTAATATCATATAATGAAAACAATACATTTAAATGTAAAACATAGAACCAAAAATGATTTAAAATCCTTATCAAAGTATAAATAGGACTTATGATATTTTAGAATTAATTCATACGGACATATGTGAATTTAATGGTTTGTCAATTAGAGGTTAAAATATGTATTTTATTATCTTTGTAGATGATTACTCTAAATATACTTATATTTATTTAATGAAACGTAAACACTAAGCCTTTGATATTTTTAAAACATATCAAATGAAGTTGAAAATTACTTAAGTAAGAAGATAAAAATCAAAGAAGTGATATAGGAGGTGAATATTTTGCTAGATTTTAACCTGTTTTGTGAACAACAAGGTAGGACACAAGAACAAAATAATTTTGCTGAAAGGAAAAATAGAACTTTAGTTGAAATGATCAATGACATGTTAACTTATGCCATGTTGCCATTTAATTTAATTTATATTCACATTTCTTTCAAAAGTGTTCTTGAAAGTTTGATAGAAAACACTAAGTGCTTAAATGTTTTTCTATTGCAAGGCTTTAATCCTTCAAACCATTTGCTAATATCCCCTTAAGCATCAAATGCAATCCGAGAGGTGGAAAATATTATTTGAAGACAACGAATTTCGTATTTAAGCCTTTATTTTTTATTCTGATTTTCTCAATTTTGCTCTTAGTTTCTTCTTCAAACCCCTTGTGAGGAAGCAATTTTCCAACATTGCTCAGTGATCAAAATATAAGATCAGAAATTCGCCCCAAGCACCCATATTCCCCAGGTGATTTGACTGTTTATTCGATTCAAGTCGAGGACAAGCTTCATCCCCAAAAGAAAAACACCCTAGGTCACTATTTAGAGATGCATGAGGTAAGGATGATGGATATAGAAGCACTATTCTTTCAGGGAACCAAAAATGATTTAAAATCCTTATCAAAGTATAAATAGGACTTATGATATTTTAGAATTAATTCATACGGACATATGTGAATTTAATGGTTTGTCAATTAGAGGTTAAAATATGTATTTTATTATCTTTATAGATGATTACTCTAAATATACTTATGTTTATTTAATGAAACGTAAACACTAAGCCTTTGATATTTTTAAAACATATCAAATGAAGTTGAAAATTACTTAAGTAAGAAGATAAAAATCAAAGAAGTGATATAGGAGGTGAATATTTTGCTAGATTTTAACCTGTTTTGTGAACAACAAGGTAGGACACAAGAACAAAATAATTTTGCTGAAAGGAAAAATAGAACTTTAGTTGAAATGATCAATGACATGTTAACTTATGCCATGTTGCCATTTAATTTAATTTATATTCACATTTCTTTCAAAAGTGTTCTTGAAAGTTTGATAGAAAACACTAAGTGCTTAAATGTTTTTCTATTGCAAGGCTTTAATCCTTCAAACCATTTGCTAATATCCCCTTAAGCATCAAATGCAATCCGAGAGGTGGAAAATATTATTTGAAGACAACGAATTTCGTATTTAAGCCTTTATTTTTTATTCTGATTTTCTCAATTTTGCTCTTAGTTTCTTCTTCAAACCCCTTGAGAGGAAGCAATTTTCCAACATTGCTCAGTGATCAAAATATAAGATCAGAAATTCGCCCCAAGCACCCATATTCCCCAGGTGATTTGACTGTTTATTCGATTCAAGTCGAGGACAAGCTTCATCCCCAAAAGAAAAACACCCTAGCTCACTATTTAGAGATGCATGAGGTAAGGATGATGGATATAGAAGCACTATTCTTTCAGATCCACCTGATGTTCATGTGATGCTCCGCATCCCATGCGAAAAGAAAAGTTCTAAACTTACAAAGACAAAACACCAAAATACAAAAATGATTTAAAGGAAAAAAAGAAAAAGAAAAAAAAAAGGCACCTGGACGGTGGTGGCGGATGGAGGCGATCAGAGCATCGTCGGAGGAGTGGATGGTGGTAGGAGGTGTAAAAGACCTAGCCTACGGTTCTCCCTTGGAAAAAAGTAAATTTCAGAATAGTGAACTATATTATTCTGAATACAAATTCCCATAGGAAGAAAGAATCATTGCCGCAGCTTATTTTGCTTTTATACCTCTCATTTTTTTGTAGCAGTGTCTCTCTCTCTCTCTCTTATGGCTCCACCTACGTTTTCGGACCCTTCAATTCTTAAACACCAACTATTGTCAATTATTGTATTCCTTAACCCATCAAAAGAAAATTGAACGATTAATTCAACTAACAGATCAGATCTAGAGAATTCTTATACCACGTGTTTCGGCTCTCATGCAAATTATATACGTCATCAACTTCACTTCGTTATAGCAAATGCCATTTGATAAAAGTTATACTACCATATATTAATTAGGGTTATTGGGCTGTGATGCCAAAAATATATATTTGTGTGTCCAGCCCATTTGGGCAATGATGATATTAAAAGGTCCAATAGATACTACCCAGCCCATTGCCCAATAATTCAATGTTGAAAGAAAATGAAACCCGGCCCAAATGCAATAAACCACGTGTGTCGCTCTGGACCCTTTGATCTATTTAACCTAACATCTACGGTGATGAACTATTCATATATAAACGAGGTCTGAGACGTTTTTGCCCTAATTTTGAGTCATATTTTCTCTGCCTCTTTGTGATATTCTCACAAACCTTCTGGATTTCTCTCTTGGGCGACTCTGTGTCTTCTGCCTCTTCTCCTTCTTCGTGAATCTGGTGATCAAGCCATAAAACCTCTGGTTTTGTGGCTACAGTGTGGTCTCCTGGTGTGTGTGACTGTTCGGTTGTGGTTAGATGAGAATTTCCTGTTCGGGTTTGGGGGGTTTTTGGGTCCAGTGTAGTGACTGCCTCTGTGTTTGTTCTTTGGGACTGTGGTTTATGAGCTTTCGACATTATACAGACGGGTATAATGCATAATCTGAGCCTAAAACGATGAAAATCTTGATGCCTTTGGTTTGAGGGTTTTCAGTCCTTTGTTGAGTCGATTTGAGCTGATTTCTTGTAACAGTGGTATCAGAGCCTTTAAAGGCTGTTCGAGTACCTGTCTCCGACGACCAGTCGTGAGAAATTAATTTTCATAACTGGATCTTTTGGGAGACGAACAGTCTACTACGGATCTTGATTCAGTTTATGATTTCTTGAGTTTTTTGTGAATTAACTTTGTTGTTGGTGGTTCTTGCAGACGAAAACATTGATTTCGAATTCCCCTTTTGTGAACTGGCTTGAAAGAACTTGAGCCTCCTGTGTGCTACTTAATCTGCTGGTCGAATTCTCTAACTCATTTTTTTTAATTGAAATACATGATTTATTTCTTAATATCAAGAATTTGTGTATTTCTTGTGATGATTGTGTTCTGATTTTTTTTGGAATATTGCATAATATACTTTGTTTTAAAGTATTCTGCACGTGTTTAATCTTGGTGATTAATTCTAAATTTCAGTATAAAATCTCTTAATTAATCTTTGTGATTAATTTTTTGATCCCTGTAAACTGCATATCAATCTTGGTGACTGTTAATTGACAATTTATTTTTAAACCTACACACTTTGCACATCACTACTGTGTTCTTTGGGTTGAGCCTTGACCTGAG